AAAGAGTAAGAAGAAAGAAGATACAGATATGTGAAAAGATAGGAAAGTCGCGAAACACTGTGTTTTTCCAATGATTTATGGCTCCGGAGGGTCGAAAAATAGAAAAGTAGACTCACTAAAGCGGAGGGTGCGGAGCCAGATGAAAGATGAAAAATTGTACGCCGTTGTGGTGCGAAGTACATTTCCAAGTCAAAATGTACAAAACACCGCAGCTTCGGAGTACTTTTAGAAATTGAGATGATGAAAAAGTGTACGCTGTTGTGGCGCGAAGCACATTTCCAAGTGAAAATGTACAAAAAACACCACGTTCGGACCACTTTTGGAAGTTGCGATGTTGAAAAAATGTACGCCGTTGTGGCGTGAAGCACATTTCCAAGTGAAAATATATAAAACACACCTATTACAACAGGGTCCAGGCGCGGCCAGTGCTGGAAGCACCTGGTCTCTTGCAGGGTAGCCGCCGTCGGCCTGCCGATGCGTTGGTCCGAGCGGCCACGTCTTTGATTCCATGTTTGCGCGACAATACGGCATCCTTGTGCACTCCATGCCTCGCCTTAGACATCATTGTGGTGAATGCCCTTAGAAACAATCATTGGGATAAATTCCGATAGGCTGGCGGCTCTGCTTGGCAGGCCTATGCCTGCCGCAAAAATCAGCACATAAGATGCATACCTTTCTGCAGCGTCTATCTGGAGCTATTGTTCTTGTGCAAGGAACCATTCTCGAAGATGTCAAAGCCCGGTTATTGGGGAAAATTTTTATTATCTTGTTTCGCGTCACTGGACGGGCCATCCGCCGGCGAACTTTGATTGAGGATCAGGCCCCGCGAGTGCAAATTTCCATGACTAAATTCCTTTTGGATCCTTAGGGTCCATCGGCCCAGTGCGATTGCATCCTGCATGATATCGTTTATTGATCAGTGGATGGATTACGATAGCTTTTTGATACAAATTTGGTGGACAATTGTCCCCTGAGGGGTCATGCTCTTCCCCCGTCATTGCTGCAGGCTTTCCTTTTCTGTCCTGCCGATTCCGGGAGGCAGGTAATTTTTCTTCTCCTGAATTTTGGCCGGCTGTGCAATATGCCAATCTCATCTGGTAATGACCAAATACGATCATTGAATTTCATTAAATAATTGTTAATTTTATAATCAAAATCTATATTTTAATTATATATAATTTTATAAAAAATAATAAATTTAATTTATTTAGATTCGGTCCCAATATATCTTGAAAATTAATATAAATATTCTTGAAAATATATTTAAAATTAATTTAAAATTATTTGTTTAATTTAATATAATAAATTAAAAATT